GATTGATACGGTGAATAATTTACATTGAAGATTTTCGGACAATTGCAGAAATCTCCTGTATAAGTATCTACTTCAAGATCTAATCTTAATGAAATCTGATAGTTACCATTATCGATCATATATGGCTCATACGTGCCTATGTTTATCTTTCACTCCATCCTTATCAATTTACTCGTATATATTTTACTTGTACTTAGATCGACTACAGGGAAAGTGCGTACGAAAAAACGCGGTACGCAATTTTGTATTTTTTCCTTTTTTTTTTTTTTTTTTTTATCATCCACGCTTCAAAATCTGTCGTGGGCTTTTAGCTGGCTTATCGACTCGGCACGCGATAACGTCAAACCTCGTAAGAGAAGAAATTCAAGACTCCTCATTATCCAGGTATACATTTACTAGCAGGTGATGATTTCGTAAGAGAGAACGAGACATGATCAGCAGTGAGTCTGTGTGTGTGTGAGAGAGAGAGAGAGAGAGCTCAAAAAAATGAAAGAAAAACGCAGTGTGAAAGGCACGTAAGGCGAGAATCCTCTAATTGTAGATTTCTCATTCTTAATACAACCAAACTTCTTCACGTGATTTTCCTTATACGTTTCAGACACAACTGTTACCAAGCGTCGATCTAATTCCTCGAGTACTTTCTCTATCTGCTCTCATCCGTTTCCTAGTTCGCGCTTAATACGAATCTCATTCGGCGAAGTCTAGGTAAGAAGAAATCTTTACGGAAATCGATGCTCCGGTTGGGTAGCTCTATATGCCTGGGTCGTAAATAGCTAGGGGATTTAGCGAGAATAAGGAAGACGATTTATCCATATTCGTCTATTGAGGAGCAGGATATATTTTATGTTATGGTATTTAGGGTATATGGTACATATGGGGTATGTGTGGGGAATTACATAAGATGAAACGACCACATAATGTCCCGCTATGTGGATACTTTATATATTGATTAAGCTAGCTAACTGTGTGTATATATATATATATATATATATATATATACGCCTGTTGAAATTTAACTACCAGTTGAATGAGTCCTGGTTTAATCAGACACGAAAAATTCTTCTAAGTAGATAATAGTAACGTACTGGTCAGACTACTGTGGAGTATAGGTCCAAAGTGGAAGTTCAAAAAAATCAGACACCTAGTAGATAACGGTACTAATGGTCGGACTATTGTAAATCGTATGTGGTAACTGAAATAATTTTAATACAATTTATGCAATTTTTGACTTAGCATCATCAACTCGTGTGTTTGAACTAGTTGAAATTTTTCGAACGTTTTCTGAACACGTTTTTGTATTCGGGTCGCCGTTGACCTTTTTTTCTCCCAAGAGGATGATGGACATCAGACACTTGAAATCATATTCCATATATTTTGGAGGTATGGACCAGATTTTGTAATCAACTTCAGTAATATATTTATTTTTTGAGATTTCAGTAGATATTCCCCCAACTATACCGCTTTGAAAATGTGGCCTAACATTAAGAATTTTGTAGAACGCGTTATTGTTCGATTAAATTTGAATATATTCCGAGGTAATTTTTTATGTCGGGCAATTGTCTCAAACAGTAAACCTAATCGAAAGGTTCGACCAATTTGCGATCATAGCATTCTGAAGCGTCCACGTAGTCGCCGAACGGACTGTACGGTCAGATTACAGGCGGACCATCAAAGCCAATCCAAAAAGCAATCCTCTTTCGGTTTGGTGCACGTTAAGTATCTTTGGAGCCTAAAAGTGGCCTAACGTAGTCTTTACGAAATCATCTTTATTTTATTGCCATCACCCCAACGCCATTATCGGTGATCATATCAACCGATAATAATCCACATCGTACAATATACCGTATTTACCGGGTGTCCAATATACTTTGTGCAAAAAATTTTTTTTTTCAAAATCAAAAATTTTCACTTCTAATTTAATTTGCGAAAAATTAAATTTAAAAAAAAAATCTGTAGTAACTCCATATGCCAATTGCAAGCAAATTTACGCTCTTTGATCTTTTAATTTATTTCGACTCTGAAATACTCGTCTTAATATTTTCCTTCGTTCGTTTACTCGCATGGGATTTCATTTTCGTTGACGATCGCAATCATTCCCGTCCTCAACTGCTATGACTTTTCCTGCGAAACGATGACGACTTAATACTGAAATTCGCCTTACTGATTAATCTTACAGATCATATTCCGTTTCTCGTTCATCTTGTCGACGGATTCTCGTTTGCAGCTGTTGCTCGAAAATTTCTCAACGAAAATAACCGGGACCTGAAGACGACACGTTATTAGACACATGTCGAATATGATCATCTACCTTTTACGTTTTTTTTTTTTTTTTTTTTTTT